CAACAGTTGTTGCTGTTGCCGTTAGGCTGCCGAAGTGCCTGCTCGCACGCTGAGAGAGAGAGAGAGAGAGAGAGAGAGAGAGAGAGAGAGAGAGAGAGAGAGAGAGAGAGAGAGAGAGAGATCGTTGATAGATAGATAGATAGATAGATAGATAGATAGATAGAGAGAGAGAGAGAGAGAGAGAGAGAGAGAGATCTTCTTCTTCTTCTTCTTCTTCTTCTCGTTGCGCACGTAGCAGCGGCGCGCGCCGCGCGACCACGCGGGACAGCGTCCCGGCGTGGTCCAGCGGCCGCCTGACGGCCTTCGCCATCGCCGCGCGCGGCCTTTTCAAGCGTGCGGCCATTTTAGAGCCCGGCCGCGGCCGGACGAGGCCGATTTCGGCCGATCTCGGCCGAACTCGGCCGAGCAGGGCCGGACACGGCCGACACGGCTTACGGCTGTGCTTGCGGCCAACCAGCCGGGGAGCGCGGGGGCCACGGGCGTGCACGACCTCGGGGGGATGCGGCAACATCGGCAGTGGGGACGTCGGGGACTACATCGACGGTGTAGCAAGGTCGGACGACATCGACGATCGACGCCACGACTTGTTGGATCCGGGTTGGGGGGCGATGACGGGGGGCGCAAGGAGCAGCGGTGCGGGGGGGTCTGGGGGTGCTCAATTCAACCCACTGTCCGAGAAGGAGATGGCGAAGTTGAGGCGAGGGAACATTGTTTGGAACTTCGTCACCGAGGGGCAGTACGTCGGAAACCAGTCGAAGATGCATGGGGACCGAAAGTTGCGTTGCAACTTATGCGGCTACCTGTTTCAAGGGGGGTCGTCGAAGGCCGCGCGCCGTTTCACGCAGGCGAAGTTCTGCAAGGCTGGGGGGATGAGAGTTCTCGCGGAACTCTGGAACGGCACGGACTACACATTCGTGTCGTCCACTGCTCAGCGGGTGCAGAGGTGGATGGCAGATGAGGGCATACGGAACACGAGAGCGCTCGCAGGTGGCCAGCGACAGCGGATGGATGACGCAGAGAGGGACGACATTCAGGATGCCCTCAATGAGGAGGAGGGCCGCGAGGGTGGGGTCAGGGAGGAGGGGGTGGCAGACGAGGCAGACGAGGGAGTCAGAGAGCCTGACCTGCCAGGGGAGGAGGTGGTGATGACGTCGAGAGGCGTCGGCCTAGTGGGTCCCGCTCCTAGGGCGCCACGACCTGAGTTGGATCGCGCGAGGAGGGAGAAGAGGGCAGTGGGGGAGGCTGGCGTCGAGGTGCGAGATACGGGCAGGGAGAAGAGGGCTCGACAAACCACGATTGACGAGATGTACGCCAAGGAGAAGTTGGCAGAGTTCACAGACGCATGGCTGCAGTGGATCTACGTGACGGGGTTGCCATTCAACACCTTCCGTGGTCCGGAGTTCCAGAAGGTGCGGCAGACGGCGGAGAGAGTGCCACTCAGTATCCAGTTCCGATTTCCCATCTTCAGGGTCACAGCGGGCGCCGGTATCCCTTCGCAGAGGGCGAAGGTGGCAACGATGGTGAGCGAGGTGCGTGCCGCTTTCCTGGACAGCAATGCCACCATGCTCTCCGACGGGAGGAAGTCGCGCAGCGGCAAGCCGCTCGTGAACTTCCTCGCCGGGGGCGCCAATGGCGCCCTGCTATACGCCGCACGCGACGGGTCGGTCCAAGACACCGCGGACATCGTGTACCGTAGGTGGTGGGCCATCATCTTGTCCTTTCCTGCAAAGGACGTGATCGGCTTTTGCACTGACTCCGCCAGTAACTATACGGCGGCAGCGCGCAGATTCACCACTGACCCTGAGCCCGACATTAGGAGGATCACTTGGCTCCCCTGCTCCACCCATATCTGCAACTCGATGTTGTCAGATATCGGGATGCGAGTGGGGTGGGTCAAGGACACCATCATCCGGGCTCGAGCGCTTGTGCGATTTATTAAATCGCACGGCGCTGGTCACGCCCTGTTTAGGAAGGTGAGCCCTCGCGTTTAGCTCGTCGAGCCCGTTGAGACACGGTTCGCATCGGTTTTCCTGATGCTAACGTGTCTCAAAGGCCGACGAGACGCGTTGGAGAGCATGTTGCACGGGGATGCTTGGGCACGCATCCCGTGGGAGTACAGGCATGTATCTCAGGCGCAGTGGGTGCAGCAGCAGATCTGGGACGGGGAGTTTTGGCGGTGTGTCAAGTACGCCATCCTTGTCATGTCGCCCGTCCACCAGCTGTTGCGCAGGATGGATAGGGGGGGGATGATGACGTCCGTCGTTTACGAGTGGAGTCAGCATGTGCTGCAGTTGATAAGGAGGGTGGACATGCCGGAGGACATGATCGAGCCGTGCGTGTGTGAGGTTGTCATCCGCAACCTCCACATGCTAGAGCCCGCACATGCCGCGGCCCACCTCCTCAACGCTCGTCGACGGTCCCTCACGTATTACCATTCGTTGGAGACGACCGCCGACGACCGCCGTGTCGTCGAGGAGTGCGACAAATTTCTCCTGGTGCAGACCGGCGGCGATCCGGTCGGCAGATTGTACAGGACCGTGAGGGACCAGACGAGGGCGTTCCACTCGAGGCGAGGGGATTGTGACCTCTCCGATGTCGAGGCGGAGGATTGCAGGGGGGACAGCGAGACCGAGCGATGTGCAGCGTGGTGGTTTGAGCATGGACGTGCCCACCCGGAGTTGCGCACCATCGTCATCCGTGTCATGCACTTGTGGACGTCTGCCTCTTCAGCGGAGAGGAACTGGGCGCAGCACGAGCGCATCAACACGGTGAGGCACTGCAAGCTTGGGTTTGCCAAGCTTGCACAGCTAGTTGAGATTGCCACCAATCTCAAACTGGCCTCGTGCGCACGGCAGGGTGGTGGCTACGTGTTGCCATGGGTTATGGGGACCGGTCGGGGGGGGACGGCGTCAGAGGACGAGGATGAGGACGGAGATGTGGAGCCCGAGGTGTGGGGAGCGCGACCGCCCGGCAGTGTTCCAGAGGTGGAGATCGAGCGGCAGATTATCGCTTTCCAGCATAGCCGACCGTCCAGAGCCCATTCGGTTCGGGACGTGTTCGGCAGCAGGGCGACGGAGCTGCGACCGTGGCCAGAGGGTGGGGATGATGTGGACGCTGCTGCAGCAGACGACGACATCGACGACGAGTGGACAGACGATGATGACACGCCGGTGAGTAGCGGCCCGATGACTGAGCGGGTGTACTTCACTTACGGTGGGGGTCGTGACGACATTGATTCGTTCACATCGGTCCTTTGTGCCACCAAGAAGACAAAAAAAAGGACGCTTGAAAAAGTGGGAGAAAGGCGGGATCCGGAAGGAAGCATAAGTTGAGAAAGAGGTCAGTTTGACTCAACCGTTTCCCCGACTGCATGGCTATGAGAAGAGCATGGGCTGATTGAGCATCAAGAGGGAACAAAGAGCAGCCAAAGGATTTGAAAAGATAGGCATGTGGGAAGGGCTATGTGTTGACCCCCTACGGGGGATTGTATGGATCTTCTTGCTTGTGTGGGATTGTGCAGGTGAGTGATGGCTAGAAATACCTTGAGCGGGATAGGGGCGAGAGGAACTGGGCACCAAGAGTGAAAGGGAAGAGGGACAAAGGGGCTATGGGACCCTTGACATAGAGCCAGCCCATGAAAATGGCTTTTGCGCATGAAGACTTGAAGTGTAAATGAGAGTGCAATCGTACCAAGGAAATTGTGATGATGTGTGTGCATGCATAATATGCATATGAGGACCCCGAAAAGACTGAGGGGCCTACTTCAATAAGGAGGAAAGCAAATTATGAGACTCGATGGATGCGTAGAGGCGAGGGAGAGGACGMCCCCGCCGCACCCCGATAGCGACAATGCTTAGGGAAATGGTGCGTGGCCTAAGGATGACGCTTAGCCTACGCACAAGAGAAAAGAGATGCTCAAACAATCCTTGGACTGCATGCGTACTGGAAGGAGCAATTGTATGAGAACACGACAAAGAATCAAAAAAAAAATCAGCGTTGCGATCAGCGAGACTACCACCCGGCGTGAGGGCTGAGCTACATCCCCAATGTCAAAGCTCTCTCGCGCGATGGCCCACCCCCATTCATCTCAAAGCACTAGGTGGGGGTGACCTTGGGACGAATGGCCCGCGCCCTAATCATGAGTGTGGGCGGGCCGAGACAACTGGGACCCGCAGTGGGGTCGACTAAGGCTCGAAAGTCTACCGGGGTTTGGGTTTACACCGGGACAAAGGTTGGTCATGTTTTTTAGCAGAGATCCGGTGGAGCAATGGTTACAGGAGGCTCAGGACAAGGAAACAGGGGAATTGACAACCTTAAAGACAGGCAGCTGGCTATAATTCTGTACCGCCTCCCTGAGGAAGTGATCATGACTGCCAGAGTTGTTCGTTTTTGTGTCTTCTTTCCTGTGAAGCATGGGGTGACTGTCTGGGCTGAGTATGAATGGGGTGGGAGCCTGGGACAATGTACCATAATTTTTGTGGGCCAATTTTGGGGATTGTCTACGTGGGGTACTTATGTGCTGAGATAATGTGTCGAAGGTTCTGAGGGATAATGGGACTACCAATCATATGGGAGCAAGCAAGGGTTCTGATCTAATTCGCAATGGGGATAAGGGGGGATTTCTATGTATGGGGTTGCTGTGGTTTCGTTATGTATGAGCAGGACTAGGGGAGAAAAAAACGGCCAGAAAGACAAAGATGGAATTTGGAAACGAAAACGACAGCAACACCATCAATAGGTCTAATGAGGGACAAGGGGCAAGGCAGGCAGGGGAATCAAGTACCAGGAAGATAAAACTGTATGTGGGCTTTGATTTTAACTTGGTTGTGGGCAGAGGGGGAAGGAAACAAGGGACCAGGGGACCTTTACCCCTAAGAGAGGGAGAACCAATAGTCCTTCCATCGGATAGTGATGATAGTGAAGATAGAGATGGAAGCCCGAGGAAGAGGCAAAGGGTAGATGAGGAAGAGCCCAACGAGGTCATAGACCTCAGCACTTAGGAGGAAGAAGATGATATCACAACACCCACAAAGGAAGTTCGGGCAAGGGAGGAGGACCCAGGTGAGGAGAAGGACAAATGGATAAGGGAGTTTGGGCCGTCTTGCAGCGATTGGTTCGACCAATGGGCCAGTATTATGCGATATTAATGGGTAATCAAAGGGAAGGAAAAGCTGAGCAGAGGAGAGGATATAGCGCCAACAACATTTTTCACAGAAGAGGCGCTCCTGAAATTGCAAAGGACGAAGAGGAGTGCAGCAGGAAATAGACGATCGTGCAAGGGAGGCTCCACACAGGGCAACTGGGCAATAAAAGGGCAGTAGACATAATAAGGAATAGTTAAGAAATGGGGAGGACTGGTACCTGGGCAGACAAGACTATCATTCTTGAACTTTGCATTTGGATTTTCTGAGAATGGAGTACCACGGGACAACTTTCTATTTGGAATTACCAAGGACTGAGTAACTAGTGTTACTTTCCATAAGTAGTTGCTCCTTCAAAAAGGGCGTGAGGATTAACCCGTTTTGAGACTAGGACTATGAAGGGCCAGGTTTGTTTAAATAAAGTGAAGGGAAGAGAGGGAGGGGACTTAGATGAGACAAGTCTGTAATATCACTTTTGCATTCGAATTTGTCTCCTTTTTTTGGGAAAATTGCGAACGAGCTGCTCTTTGAACTGGGGAAGTAAAGAGGGACTAGGTAGCTAATGCTACTTTGCATAAGTACTTGCTCCTTTGAAAATGTGGGAATCTTTGATAATGGGAGACGAATGGGGAATGATTGACTTTGTTTTGGGAAAGGGCGAGAGTGTGTGAATTATTGAGACTGAAGAAAGTCTATGGCAAAGAGTTTCCTTTTGAAAAATGTGCACCCCTGGTCGAGTGAGCCATGATATGAGTTTCCAAAGAGGTTAGGGGACCTATGGGTAAAGAGGCATGAAGAATCCTCTTCCCTAGGAGGCTAATCCAACCGGTCCCGGATAAATCCAGAGCAACAAGAGACATGAGAGGATAGAGAGAGGGAACGTTGATTGAGCAAGCATTCTCCGCAGTGGTTGAACGGTCGGGCAGGCTAGTGCTGCTTGGGGCCGTGAGCCTCAAATTGAGCACTAGACACTAAGTCGGGTGTATGCATGGATATGAGAATGATGATTGGCACGAGACAAAAGGCAAAGGCACGCGTAAAACTCAAGAAGATGACCACATTCTAACCCCCGAGACGAGAGTAGGGTCCGTGTCCTCGAGACCCTCCCTCTCGGGCGCTAACATTGGAATGGATAAGGATGACCCTAACCAGGTTGTCCGATGGAAATGGATAAGGATGACCCTAACCAGGTTGTCTGATAAAAATGAATAAGGATAACCCTAACCAGGTTGTCCGATGGAAATGGATAAGGATGACCCTAACCAGTCTGTCTGATGGAAATGGACAAGGATGACCCTAACCAGGCTGTTCGATTGAAATGGATAAGAATGACCCTACCCAGGCTGTTCGACTTGGAATTGGAAAGAACGACCCTAACCAGGTTGTTCGGAATAACCCCTTACAAGGGTCATTCTTTGGAATTGGCACTGGGGTCCCCTTGCATGACTGATTGAGGCGGACGAGATTGAGAAAAGCTGAGCCTTGGAAAAGACTTTGGATTGAGCCTTGGAACATATATTGGACTCAGCATTGGAAAAGATACTGGATTCAACTTTGAAAAGAATATTGGATTGAGCATTGAAATTGGATTGAGCATTGTAATTGGATTGAGCACTGAATTTTGAGTGAGCTTTGAAATTGGATTGAGCACTGGATTTGGATTGAGCACTGGATTTGGATTGAGCTTTGGAATTGGATTGGGCATCGGAATTGAAGGAGCATTAGAAATTGCATTGCATAAACAGGGGACCCTAGGCAACTGGAAATGGACATGGAAATAGCATTGAAATGAATTTCTCTTTTCTTCTAGTCCTTGGCCTCAGCAAGAGGAGGGTACCGATGCTTCCACCGCGACCTCAAGACCTCTACCCCTTTGAGGGGAAAAGTCTCAGCGCGACCTGTTCCTCTTGGAAGGGGATGAGGGTTAAAGGACCAAGGCACCTACCACTTGGATCGGTGCGGGACGTCCGGAACTGACCCCGACAGTGAGCTCTAGTCGGGGAGTTCAAATTGCGCCTCGTGTTGAGAGCCTAAACGTTAAAGGGTGAGAGAACCAAATGGGCGAGAGAGTCATTCTTATTCTAGTCTATTTCGCTACTCTCCAACCACACGCCATACCATAGAGGGGTGGCATGACTGTTTGGGTCGGACCTCGGTTCCCCGCACTAAGTTGGGCGGCACTGTCCAAGGGGAGGGATCAGGCGAGGTAGCGGGTGGAGGCCGCCACCACCACGGGGCACTGACACTGCCCTGCCGGAACATTACAACCGTTTCAGGACTAATTGCGAGGTCTTCGTAACTGCACTCGCGGACTAATAGAGAGCACCAACTCTCTTGAAATAAAGAGGCCGGATCCAGAAAACTACCACTCGGGAGAAACGATTCGCGAGGAAAGCTCTTACGGCTAGACGAGGCCTTGGGAGGTTTGGACTAGACCTACCTGCCAATGTGAGAAGGAACCTCAGTGTTGGTGCTCGCCACGTAATAGTAAAAGGTCGGATCGAGTAGGAGGATGAGGCGTCACCGCTGGGGAGGAACTGATCACTCTTCCCTTGTGAAGCGGATGGGCTTGTGTCCTTGACTGCGGTCGACGGACCAAAGGTCTGCGTACCTCCGAGTGAGAACCAGTCGCGTGATGGGGACATTGCGTTTTGAGTGGGGGGAAGGTGTGCCATCTACCAATGTCAACGCATGAAAAGACTTATGTAATTGACTTTGCATGGGCCTGAAAAAGGGGGCCTGGCAAGATGCCCAGAACAGAAGAGACTTGTGTAATTGGCTTTGCATGTGCCTGAGAAAGGGGGCCTGGCAAGATGCCTGGAACAGAAAAGACTTGTGTAATTGGCTTTGCATGGGCCTGAGAAAAGGGGGTCTGGCAAGATGCCCAGAACAGAAAAGACTTGTGTAATTGGCTTCGCATGGGCTTGAAAAAAAGAGGTCTGGCAAGATGCCCAGAACAGAAAGGACTTGTGTGATTGACCTTGCATAAGATTGAGAAAGAGGTCTGGCAAGACGCCGGAAAAGGAAAAAACTTGTATAATTGACTTGCAGGGATCTGAGTAGAAAGACTGGCAGGATGGGAAACGGATGAGTAATTGGCTTGCATGAGCTTGAAATGGAGGACTAGCAAGGTGTCTGGAAGAGAGATGCATAAGGGATGAACTGAGTATTGCACATGAAAAGCTAATCAAGCAAAGGGCAAGAAAAGACAAAGGGTGATATGCATGCGAAATTGGCAGGGCTAGGGAAAGGCCGGGTGAAATGACCCGGGAGAAATAAATGTGGATTTGA